GATATAATCGTAGTTTCAGTTCTTAATCAGTTGTGTTTGCCTTAGAACGCTGTGCTATCTTCGCACAATTTAGTTTTGCATCGTGTATGACAAAAATGTTATGGCTAGTGGATGTAATTCTGGAACTATTTATGTCTCACCTCTAAATTTCATTAACATTGTTCACAGAGTATTATTTTATTTCTGTTTACTAGCACTGACAGTTTCATCTTCGCCTCTCGGATTAGAGCAAACATTTAAGTACACTGACGCTTTTCGTCTGACACTCTTCAGAGTATAAAACGTCAGGACATAAACCGAAAACTCTATGCTTGGAAATATATATACCCAGTTGTGGATCGAAATAGGCCAATCACAAATGAGAGCACATGACTGCTGAGGTTGGCTAATCTGTGCCGCTTGCCTATTGAGAATTTTACCAATGGACTCCTAAAGTGAAAACGATTTCCTTCTGTATATACAAAAGCGGTTCTTTCGTGCTTATGTAGATGGATTCCAAAACTTATAAATGGAACGACGATGGGACTTTGCCAATAATCCAAGACATGTCGCTATTACAGTTTTTAGCATGCCCGATAGCGGAATCGCATGTTTCACTAGCTGGTTTAGATCTGCAAGACCGAGGAGGCTGTTCTCTTCGGGGCAGAGTTTTGTTTCTAATGCCGGAAAGGATATGCTGTTTTATTCTATCCTCCAATCTTTGGGTAGTGCGTCATGCGTAGCCAGAATCACACTGACATGTAAACTGATAGATAACGGAACTTTTTGGGTGGTAGGAACGTATGGAGTCATGTACTGGACATAATGGGTACCTTTGTTTCGTCGAGGCGATTGTCTGATCGTCGAGGCGGGTTTCTCTTCGTCGAGCCGGGTTTCACTTCGTCGAGCCGGTCCTGTATCGTGAAAGCTGTCGTTTCGTTGAGGCGGGTTGCTCTTCGTCGAGGCAGGATTGATTAATCGTGACAGGTCTCGCTTCGTCAAGGCAAATGTCACTTCGTCGAGGCATTGAATTGAATTGATCACTTTCATGTAGTCGAGTCGTGTTCCAGGGGGTAGTGGTTTATAGCAAGGAGCGGAAAGAGGCGGGGAGAGGAGGAGAAGTGTCTTGAAACTGTTTTTGCTAAGCAACTGGATGCCCATCTGAGCAGCTGGAAGCCATGGGGAAGTGGTGTTTACGTCCTTCTAAACACGAAAGAATATTTCGAAGAAGCATGAAGTTTGTTCAAAGGGGCCCAGCTCAAGATTTTCTAAAGAGTCCCAGGAGCTTCAGTTTCTCCCAGTAGCTTTCAATTAATTTTTTCACAAATATCCCAATCACACTCTTTTTTAAAGAACAAGTAAATTCAAATTTAGACAGGCTTTCATTAATTTTTTCCCAACTTTTAGGCCTGGATTGTTCTTAATTTGTCAAAAAAGTAGTGCAAACGTATTGGCTTAACATTATATTTTATGGAATCAAAATATGGAACGAGATTTCATTGGAACTTCGTACTAAGTCAAGCAAGATATCATTTCAGAAATAGCTTCGCAACTAGCTTCTACAAATATATAATGAAATGTGAACCTAAAAAATCTATATTCGATTTAATGATATAAATGAACAGTTCAATAAGGTCATTAGACTATCGCAATCGCAGCTACTTGAATCTAAACAAATAAATGACGGCAGTTTCTCCACACCGAAAGGCTCTGTTTTACCCTTCATTATACCCTATGACAACCGCACCATTCACATCCGTGAAATTCTCAAAAAACACTGGAATATTATAACAAAGGATAAAGAATTACAAAACATATGGTCAAAAACCCCCATTCTCGCCTTACAAAGGCACAACAACCTTGGAGATTGGTTAACTCATACTAAATTTTGAGCATCATATGACATTGTAAGATACCTCGATACCACACCATCAACATTACTATTATGTCACACCAGACTCCAATGCTTTTTCTATTCGCGATTTATCTGCATAAACAAGATATCCCAATTTTATAACCATTT